GTAATAATAAAATAAATTATAAATCATAAATAAACAAAAAATGAGTTTTATTAGTTTTGAATTTTTTAATTGATTTTTGCTGATTTTTAAGCTGATTTATACCGAATTTTAACCAATTTTTAACATAAATGCTGATTGATAGCCGATTTTATATTTATTCAAAATGCTGATTTTTTAGTAATAATCGGCAGAATTAGACTATATTTTGACCTAACTTTCAGCACTTTAAATATGACGAATTGTATTATTTTGCTTAGTGATATATATTAAATAACTACCAAATCGTTAATGTCGAATGTTTTTTGTGTGGCATAGAAATGGGCAACTTCAGCTATAACTAAAAATGCTGATTGTTTTAGCAATGATTGGCAGAAATTAGATTATATTTCAGCCAACATTCGGCACTTTAAAAAGTGACGAAATGGATTATTTCAACTAGTACTAGTGCAAACTCTTTATTCTCGTTGGATTTTTTCCAAGAATTTTTACTTTAAACAAGTGTCCGTTCAAAGGCGACTGTAGCTTAGCCTGCGAACAAAACAAAAAACCCCACCTTTCAAAAATATTCCTCTCTTTGTTCCCTACACCCTCTTCACATAAAAATTTTCGAAATAGTCTAAACTGTGTTGTTTTTTGTTAAAATATTTTTCTTCACCTCTTTTCAAAAAATTTTTTCCATTTTTTTCTCTTTTTCTTTTTGCCTACAAAAAGTGGGCATCTAGGGGTATTTGAATTGATGATCATGATTGACATACTTTGGTAAATAAATCTCACGTGATGATCCCGTTTCTTTTCTAAATAATACACTCTCTTTTGATTAGCCTCTGCCTTTCTGCAAATCCTCTATTATTGAAGGTCACGTGCAAATTTAGCGTTATTATTCTACATAGTGTAATGAAGCTTGCTTTCAGAACGATCCTAATCCCTTAGTTTGATTGATGCCTGAAAAACTATTGATTCTTTCCTTACCTTAGCTGGCTGGCTTAGTTCAGTTAGTAGTAATCCAAAGTGATTTCACCCTTAGATCCTTCCTCGCTGACCTTCTGTGAATGTAGTTTAATTTCGTAGTGGATTTCATGTGATATTTTTTCTGTACTTATGAATTTATAAGTATGAAGAGCCTTTGTTTAGACCTAGTTACTTGAACGCATCTTCTTCTGCTGGGTGGTCGCTTTAAGCTAGAATTGACTGAACTTTAACTAGGACTTATAAGTCATTTTTTAGTTGTTTGTAAATTTCCAATTCCCTACTTCAGGTATTGTTTTTTAGTATTAGAATTTTCTTTTGAGAGAAGTTAAGGTTCAACAGACATTTAGAAATTAGATGCTTTCTGACACTTTATTTTCACCTCTTTCAGGAGGTGGCAGTGATCAGTCGATTCAAATGAGTTTGAAATAGAACCATAGAGGGTAAGTTACGTATTTTATATTTTTTTTAGAATTTTTATTTTTTCTTCAATTTACAATACAAATAAAATACTGCAGCTAGACTGCATTGTTAACAATTTAATAAAAAAATTATTTCAACTAGTGCTATTCATTTGTTTTAACAATTCACCTCTTTAATAATTATTTTTTTTTGTAATTACAAAAAGTTTCATTTTAAAAAGCTTTTTTTTTTAAGATCTTGTTAAAGATTAAAAAAAAATAAGATTTTGACAGTAAAAATAAATATAATTTTATATGAAAAATAATTTTTTAGGTTATAAAGGTAATTAATTATTCAAATAGTTATTATATAAAATGCAAAAAATTGATTTTTTAATTTAAAAATGTTTATTGGATAATATTTAACTAATAATATATATTATAATTTAGCCAAATAAACAAGTTTTATTAAGTGGAAAAGGTAATTATTCAAGTAAATTCTTGATATGTTAAAAATTCTCTAATTTTTAATATATAAAGAATAATAAAATTGATATAATAGAAAGCTGGGAAAAATCAATTTTACATTATATATCAAATATGGTTTTCAGGCTGAAATATGTTCAAATTTAACATTAGCTAATTTTTTATTTTTACAACAGTTCCCCCCTTTCTATTGCAAAGATCCCAAATAACCAGTTGAATAATTGCAAATTTATTTTTTGTAATTTTAGTAAAAATAGATAAAAAGTATTAAATAGACAAAAAAAGAAGTTTTAAAAAAGTTTCGATTATTCATATAATAAAATATATCAAATAATAGATGATTTTTCCAACAAGATCTTGAACTGGTTGAACCGTTTTATAAAAATGATTTGCGAGAACATCGACTGTTCGATTTGGTTAATCATATAAAAATTTTGTGCTATGATCGACATGCGACTACTGTGATCAAACAAGTGCCTTTATTTTGTCTAACCAAAAGTGGTTTTCATAAACAACCAACATGTTCTTATCATGACTTCATTAACATATTTTAAAAGTTTTGATTCCATTCCTTTAACCCCAAAATGTTAACTACAAGAACTTTCAAACATTTTACCTCTTCCATTATAACAAATATACATCAATTTTCAACAAATTCACTATACAAATCTCGGTTGAACTATAGAATCCAAACTTCTAATAATTTATTAAGCTTTTCGAATTTATATAATCAAAGAATATTAAGTATAAAAAATCAAAATTTAATAAATAAACCAACTTTTATTTATGAACAACAAAAAAGGTGGCATATTCATCATCATCATGGTCCACATCATGGTCACGACGGCGATAATCATGGATTAATCGTCGTTCTTTCTGATCCAAGTAGTACATTTTTTAATAAGTTGATTAAATTCGCTAATTTTCCGAATTTTTTATTAATCATAAGAAAGTCGTGGAACAAAAGTTACTTTATTGGGACTTGCTTGTAATGTAGCTTTAACCGCAGCAAAAGGTGCAGCTGGTTGGTATGTAAAATACTTAAATACTCGAATGATTTTTTGATTTTATTTTTTTTTTATAAATTTTTTAAAAAAAAATCTAAAAAGGGTGATGAATTCCGCGTCATTATTAGCAGATGCTGCACATTCTTTTAGTGGCAAGTAATATAGTTTTCTTTTAAATTAAAAAAATCACTTGAATTATTAATTTTTTTTTTTAAAAAAAAAACACTAACTAGACCTAACTAGCGACTTCGTAACATTATATACTTTTCAAAAATCTAGGCGGTAAATAGCACCTTTTTATTAAATTTATTATATTATTCATGTTTAATATTCCTAATGCTACACTAAATTTTCGTCATAGTCCCCCTGATGCAACTCATCCTTATGGATACGGTAATTATAAATAATAAAGATTTCATTTTGTTTATATACCAAACTTATGTATTTTGACATCTTTTGAAGGAAAGTATGAAACAATTGGATCACTGGCGGTTTCTTCACTATTAATAATCGGAGCGGTTGGAATAGGTCATCATTCCTACGAAATATTAATTAATCTTTTGCCATCAGAAATTCCAAATAGTATAAATGAACTTGGTGAAGCCATAAATTCGCGGACTGATGATAATCATCATCTGAATCCCAATGCAGCTTGGTTTGCCGTGGCATCTGTTATTATAAAAGAGGCATTATATCGAATCAGTATGTAATTCGTTGATTAACATTCTTTTACTAATTATTTGAATTTTACACATTATCTACTTTTGCATTTTATAGCGTTGAAGATTGGATTGGAAGAAAGATCCAATGTTTTAGTAGCAAATGCATGGTAAGTATATTTTTCATTCAAGTATTAATAAATTGATAATGATAAATAGATTTCTGATTGCCCGTTTAATTTTATTAGGCATCATCGTAGTGATGCAGCTTCAAGCGTTGTAGCCCTTGGAGCAATTATGGGAAGTTATCTTGGATTTCCGTTTCTTGATCCATTAGGTGGCATACTAGTAGCAGGAATGATAATGAAGAGTGGGTTCGAAATCATGTTAGATTCATTAAAAGAATTAGTTGATGTGAGAGTTGAACAGGAAGTTATAAATCAAGTTGAAAAGGCTGTTGAAAAATTAAAGGTAACGTGATAAAAATTGAAAATTTATTTTTTAAAAAGATATGTACTAATATTTATCTTTTTAGGGTACTGATCCAAATATAGTAAATTTCCATAATATAAGAGGTAGAAAATCAGGACCGTTTTATTTAATTGATATGATATTACAAGTTAATCCGGATTTAACTATATCAAAAGCTCATAACATTGAAGAACAAGTTAGACAAGCTGTTAAGAAAGAATGTAAATGTGTTAAAGAAGTTTTGATGCATTTGGATGTTGAAGATCAAAGTCCTCATCATTAAAGGAACTTCGAAAAATTTAATTTAAAAAAAATTCTAACCTAACCGGGACAACCCTAAACATTTTAATTTCGAACACCCATTAAGTTGCTATTTGTTATCAAATTCATATGTTGTATTAATATTACTGAAATCCAGGGAACCTACTTCTATGAGTTCATAGTTTTGTGGATTACATCTGGTTGACCCTTGAAAATTTCGCATAAATTAAAATATAAATTTTGTTAAATACAATAGAGTTTTTTTTTCGATTGATAAATACCCAATTAGTGTTACCATGAAACTGTCAGAAAGATTAGGTACAGTTAGACCTCTCTAGAGAGGGTGTGTATTAAGAGAAATTAATACTACAAATTTATTTGTTTTTATTAATTACAAATAATAATGAATAAGATTAACCGGATTTAGAAATTTCAAGTCAAATAAAATATTTACAGATATCGAAAAAAATTTCTATCAACAATATATTGTAACTATTCATTAATAATAAAAAATTGCTCTAAAGTAGTTTGTACCATCAACTGCTTTTTTTTTCTTTAATAAATCTCTCAAGAATATTAACTGATTTTAAATATTCAATAGCATCTTCTTGTTGAAGTAAAATACACAGAGTCTCTAAATTAAATATATTTTAATTATTAATAATATAATTTATTTAATTTAATAATTTATAGAACTTTCTGCCAATCAGTTTTCTGATTTTTCTTAAATGGCAACCTATTATGATATATGTAAATATATATTGAAAATATTATAATAAACTCATTAAAATCATATAATATATTGAAGAAAGTTTCAAATTTATTATAAATAAAAATAAAATGCTACAAATGCTTATTAATATGTATTATTGTGTTATTTTTCTATTTAAAATCTTGCAAATAATTATTGATACTATATCACTTTTCCTGCTAACTTTTAGCTGATATAAATTATTAATATAAAAGCATTATATATTAATAACTTTCATATAATATAAATGAAAATCAATATATCATTTGTATTAATATGCAATTCTTATAAAAGTTTTGCCCTATACTTTCAAAAGATAATTAATATTTATTTATAATATAAATAAAATATAATATTACAAATTTGCATATAAAATTTTTGAATTAAGATATAATATTATTATAGTCTTATGTTATATTTCTTTTTTATTTAATATTAATGATTTTCTTATTAAAATAATATAAATAAGTAAAGTCACTTTTTTTACAAGTTTTACATGATACAGCATAACTTCTTATATTATATTCATTCTTAAAATAATTATAGTATATATAATCATCTCAATCATTAACATTTACTTTAGAACTTTTAGAATTATTTTTCTTTAAAGATGATTTTAATCTTAAACTAGCCTTTCTTTATATTAGATTGTAATAGATTCTAAACTATATCTTCTCGATTATTTAAAATTATTGTATTAGCTTATTTAATTTATAAAATAAATCTTATAATATTGTTATAATATATATTGAATTATTTAGTTGTTAATAATATCACTTTTTATTTTAATATTATATATTTATTATAAATTTACTATTTTACAATTATATAATCAACTTCAGAATCCTAGATTAAACAATTTTATCTAAGACTTTAAATTTTACTTATAAAAATTAACATCTTATTTATATATTCTAGAAAATCAAATAGAATATTAATATCATATATACAATGACTTACAAAAGAAACGCACGTAGAGTTACTTGTCTTTAAAAGCTTATAACTCACCAACCACGAATGCTAGAAACATAGTTTTGTATTTATTTTAAACCTAAAACCTAGCTAATAGTTAGTAAAAATTTGAAGTGCAATTATTAAGATTAAGACCAATTTTGCGTAATTTAACGATCTACATCAAAAATTCTTACTTAATGAAAATAAGTGTAGAAAAGTTTTTTCAGTAGGCTGATTACCCAAAAACTGATACTGAATTCTAATTTTTCTCAATGCAGCGATTCTAACAAGGGTTAGACGCATTTTTATATAATATCGTAATAACCTTCTTTATTGATTTTTCATTGATCTACTAATCTGATTTGAATGAATTTTAGCTTATTAGAATCGCGATACTGAGGAGAATCTGAATACAGTATCAGTTTTTGAGTAGTCAGCCTACCGAAAAAACTTTCTACACTTAAATTTCATTAAATAAGAATTTTGATGTAGATCGCTAAATTGCGCAAAATTAGTCTTAATAATCACACTTCAAAATTTTACTAAATATTAGCTAGGTTTTAAGATTAAAAACAAATATAAAACTATGTTTCTAGCATTTGTAGTTGGTGAGCTATAAACTTTTAAAGGCAAGTAACTCTACTTGTGTTTCTTTTGTAAGCTACTGTAAAGCACTTCTTAAATATGATAATATTTCAGGATATTTTATACATAATAATTCAAACTCAAATTCAAATATTTCAAATATTTCTTTAAATAAAGTATTATAGCAAATTAAAAATTTTGTTTGAAATTTAGAAAATTGTATACAATAGGATATATTAAATATATTAAATGTTTTTTTATATTCTAAATTATATGAAAAATATAGTACAAGTATTATATAATTGAAAAAACTGTTTTAATTACTAATCTTAATCTAATATTATAATCTGAAAAAATTGTTTTGAAAGTAAATTATTTATTACTTTTAAAGATAATTAAAATTTATATATATATTGAAATTATTTTATCATATATTAGTACTTAAATTACTAATATTGAATAATAATATTTATCAATATCTCTATACTTATTAATTTAAGCTTTATTATCTGTTAAAATTATATATTAGTGCTTTAAATATAAGTTTTATTGAAAAATAGCATTTAAAATAAATGAAAAAAATGATTTTTAATACAATAATATTTTCTTTCATTTTAGTAATATTTAGAAAAGATTTAACACATTATTTTTTGAACCTTATTTAGGGTTCATTAGATTACCTTTTTAAAAATACTGAATAATATTAGCTAAATTTTTATCAAAATCAATTGATCTTTAAATTCATTATAAAAAAGTAGTTGTAACATACAGTCGCCACTGGATATAACGAACCCTCTATTCCGTAGGATTTGGTTTAGTATAGGATGAGTTTGTTATATAATGCTCACTCTATATACCAAACTGTTCGGTATATAGAGTTTATTATTAGCATATATATTATTATACTGATTAATAAAAAATTTTCAAATATAAATTATCTTTATTATTATTTCATTCACATGACATGTATTATTATATTTATAAATTGCGTAATATTATATTATTTAAAATTTGTATGACAATGCTATACTATTCAATTATATCGTTAATATTAAAGTAATGAAGATCAACTTGCTTTAAATTTTGTACAATTAGTAGCTTAACTCGTTTATGTAAT